ACGACAGAGGGAGGAGGGGTGTGGGTGTTCGCCACCCCGGTGTTGATCTGTCACAGAGGAAGAACGGTCCAGGGAATGACTTGTGTCCGCAAGGAGCGCGCAGGTCGTCTCTCCCCTCTGTGGGCGCGGCTCTTCGCTCTGGCCAGTTCCTAAGCGCTCAGTCCCCTCTGCGTCCACCGCTGTGACTTCCTCCCCTTCCCCTGAGCAGCTCTTGGGCAGGGATGGGGGGGGGGGCTGTTGTTTACCGAATGTCGCTGGCCCGTGGGGGGCGGGGCGGGAGCCTACAGCCGGGCTGCTGGCTGGGATCCGGCTTCCCTCTGAAGAGGCAGGAAGTCTTGCCATAAAACAAACAAACCAGGTGTTATTCACCGCTGCTCTTTCCCAGAGTCACGAGATCGGGGGTGGTTCTAGCCTTGGGAAGAAAATCTGGACGTTCCCGGACTCGTTTTGGGGCGGTAGGGGTTGCCACGGCGAAGGCCTGGGCCTTCAGCTGAGGCATTTAAACAAATCTGGGAAAAGGGTCTTGGGGCTCCAGAGAGGACTGGGGCTGGATTATTGGAGATCTGGATTAACCAGAAACAATTCCACCGGCAAGCACCTCATGCACTCTGGGTGTGTGTTCATTCTCATACTCCAGACCCACCCAGCAGTCAGGGTTTTACAGCCCCAGTTGTGCGTTGGTGTGTCTTCGCTGCGCTTGTTTTAGGTAAAGAAGGACCCATCTTCAAGTCCTGGGAGCGTGATTGATCATGGGCAGACATCTTCTTTCCCTCGGTCTGGGTCCGAGCCTTCCCCTGCCTGCTTTGTGTGTGTAGCTCTTAAATGGGCTTTTGTTTTCCCCAACCTTCACTTGAAAATGAGAGAGAAGATGTGATGGGGACAAAGGAGCACTTTGTCTGGGAGGGGGAAACACGTTGAAGAGTCTTCCTCAGTCCACTGTCAGTGTACAACCTGCTATGGCTGCTTTTAATGGAGATGTTCGATTGAAGCGTTCAAAATACTGGTCTTGGGGGGATCGCAGTTGGTGCTGCTGGTTTTCATTCCAGCTGAGTTACTCAATTTGACACCGTTTAATTGGAATATTTTAAAGTTTTTTTTTTCTGCTCCGAAGTGAGGGGGGTTTATGGTACTTCTGAAATACGATAGTTAAAAGGCAATCACCAACATGTTTAAGACCGGAAGGGAGCCGAGCAATTCTGATGTCTTTCTTTATGAGTCCCGTGGTTTATAACCGAGCGCTCAGCTGAAAGAGAAACTAGCAGCAGGCATGCAACTCACCCGGACCAAGACTGATGGCCCCCCGAGCTATACAAGACCATTCTTTCCCCGTCTGTCGCTTAGTGTTCATCCATGACTTGAAACGTTAGTTTTTTAGATGTTACAGCCAAAGGCGGTGGATGGAGATGACTTGATTATTAACCATTTTCTGTATATTTCTGCAATATTTATTACTTTATGATTAATTCTGTATTGAAAGGAGCAGATCTGAAGTGCCAGACTGATATTCCTTTTGAGGTCCATGTCCTGTACTAGTATGATTTTCGCTGCTGTACGTTTATAATTGTTCTCAAGGGAAAAAGGGGCAGGTGACCTAGTTAATAAACACGAATGACTATTGAAACCGACTCACTGTTAATGTCTTCTTACTTAACAATCTAAAAATGTGTCGCGAAACCAAAGTCAGTATTTTGTCACGAAAAGAGAACTGAGCTCGACATTTCCTCGTTTGTTTTTGAGCTCTGTGTTCTGAACCGAAGGGACGGCTGTCGCACAGGTAGTGGTTTAAGAAAATGTTACAAAATTAAGCAAAATCAGTTTGAATAAGATCATCACCAACCCTCCAAATGTGCTGGAAAGGAGATTACGGATTGCCACAGTAAGTATACTTGAAGAAATCTGTGTTAACATAGTCGGTTCTGTCTATAGCGGAACCAATGTTACCACGTCCTTGTGCACCCGGGGGACTGTTTACGAGGCAGCGCACAGGAAATGTGAGTAATGCACTGACGATTTGAATGGATGAAGAGGAGGCTGTGTTGCTTTTAAACAAAAAGGAAAGTTGTGCTTTTCTGGTTTAAGCGTCCTAAGTTTCTAATCGATAGCGTTACAAGCTTTTACGGACTCCGGGTTAGGTTTAAAAAAAAACAATCAACGCAGGATGTTTGCGGGTTTACCTGAACTGGGCATCTCCAACGGCGAGGATCTTAAAGAAACACTGACCAACTGCACTGAGCCCCTGAAAGCCATCGATCAGTTTCAGGTAAATTCAGCATATCAAGGAGGGGGGGGGGACATGAGACTTATTTCTGTTCGATTTCGTCTTCTAAGCAAGTCTTCAGTCGTGCAGAAGTTACTGGGTCGACTGTCAGGAGTGCACCGAGCTCAATGCACTTTGGGGTGTTTTTTTAAGACGCTATGTCGCGCGGGTTTTGCATTTACGCCTGTGTTTGTTGACGTTGAAATTGATTAATTTATTTCCGTTGTCGCTGCAAGAGTTCTAGTGTTATAAATAATTGTCCCCGTAGCAAAAAAACAAACAAACAAACAAACTAACTAACGAGTTGATAAGACAGCGACGATGACATTGAGGGGAATCTCGAGTCGCTTGTTCAACGTGTCTCATTGAAGAACGGAATGTGTCGTGTTTTGAAGGGTCATGTGCAAACTGTATTTGGGAGAGTTCTCCAGGAGATTCAAAAAAACCATGCTGCTTTAAAAGACACAACCCCTAACCAGCTTCAGCTATGCTGTGTCTGCTGTAGTGCCGCGCCGCTCTGTAACTTCGCGATCCAATCTCTGCTGGCTGTGATCGCAGACGGAGAATGGCATCCTGCTGCCCACCCTGCAGTCGGCTCTCCCGTTCCTGGACCTGCACGGCACGCCTCGGCTCGAGTTCCACCAGTCGGTGTTCGACGAGCTGAGGGACAAGCTGATGGAGAGGGTGGCGGTCATCGCCGAGGGCAAGGACGCCGATCGGTACGTGTGGGCCGGGGGTCCTCGCCTGACTGTCAGGCTGTCTTACACCGTTTAACTCGACAGTATCCTCGGAGTGAGAGACAACCCCGGGTTGTGCAGTGCGTCAGGGCTTCTCAGCTCGCAGTAGCTCAGGTGGGCAGCTGCGTCATCATGTGTGGGCTGCAAGGGAACAAGTAATAGGTTTGTTCCCTGCTGAAACGGAGCCTTCTTCGGGTGTGAG